TCTCGTGATGGTTATAAATGGGAATTTGGAGTATAAGCTTGCAAAGATGCTCCCTGAAGCCACGTTGCAGGTTCATGTAGTCCCAACCAGAGGAATTACGAAATGCGAGAGGTTTTTCTCAGTTTCCAGCACATTAACAAATGTAAGCCATTGGTTAAATGCCAAATTCCAGAGGGTATTTTTTGTGTTGTTATCGTGCTTTTTGGATGAGATTTTTCATGGTGCTGTCGTGTTTTTTAGAGGACATTTTCTGTGCTGTTGTTGCACTTTTTAGAGAAAATTTTCCGCATTGCAGAGATGCCAGTATGGGGAGAATCACTTCCCACTGAAAATGAATGGAAATACTAAAACTTTGAGAAGGCGGTGTCGACACTATTTAAAGATAAGCTAACTCTTTGTTTGAGAGCATGGATTACCGAGCTTGCAAAGATCAACCGTATTCTTAGCGAGCACAAGAATAATAACTCCATCAAAACGTGAAGACTTTACATTCTTTTCAAGCAAGGATGTTGGCTTTTGAAGAAGTGAACATGAAGCTGTGGATCTTCTAACGATTGGGAGGATTCTGTAGTTGATCATTGTCTCTTTTTTTACCGACTTGTTGTAGTTTTTGTACCATGTGTGTTAGTCTTTGTATCTCTTTAATCGCCTGATGTGGCATTTGTATGTGGTGACAGTGTGTTTGTATGTTCGTCTTTCTTCTAATTGATCTAGTAAAAATTTTGGCATTGTTTTTTAGGTTGTTTTTGCCCTTCTTTCTGAGTCGTTGTCACCTGACTTTTGGGATGTCGCTAAGATTGATTAGTCAGAGTGCGTCCGTTCGATGGCCGCGGCTTGTAGTGAAAGAAGTCAATTGTAATCCATGAATGATGTAAAACTTGTCGTAGGTTGTATAGCCGGAGAATGTGTTTTACGGCCTGTAATAGGCAAAGTCAAATGAAATGCACCAAGAAATTTTGACCTATTTGGAACTGTTATTCGAAACGTTAACTTGACAAATGTAACTTTTGATAGAAGAGTCGAATCGGGTCCCCTAAAGACTTCTGATTAAGCCTAGAATGAGGTACAAAAATATTTGTCATTTCTCGATACTGGGCGTATGTCAAAATGGGCCGTACTTTTTTTTTGGAGATATGGCTGCAACCATACACAAGAATAATGTTTGTTTGTTAGTTGTTGCTTTTGAATTTGTTGGCCTCAATGAGGGCATTTTCTATACGAGCTTATAAAGCAGTCCATATATTAAATCTTGAAGAGATCAATTTCTTTATCAAGTTGAAGAACTCCAGTACAAAAGAACATCAGTACGAAAGAACTCAAGTACGGTGAGGGGTGGTGAGGAAGTGCCCTTCGCTATGGAAATTGCCCCTAGTATGGAAGCAGTTCTCAAAATCTTGATGTATGAATGAGACGTAGGATGACTATCCTGCCACAATGGTGTTCAGGACGTTAGTGTGAATGACCTTTTGAGATTGCAGTAATGGTTGCCGTAACATGTCAGTAGCTTTCATATACTTGATGACTGAATAAGACGCAAGAAGACTACCCCGTCATAATCGTGCCCGATATGTTAATGTGAACGACCTTTCGAGATTATATTAAAAGTTGCTTGCAAAGAATTGATCTTCAAGTGGTACAAAAGAAGCTCAATTGTCAGTTGGATACTGTATATCGTTGGGAAATGAAGCAGAGGCTTGATATTTGGGACTTGAAGATTATGTCGAATGGGACTTCATTTCTCATAGATGGTGCCAAATTGATGCGTATCAGAAGATCTGCAACAATAGATTGATCATTTAGCGTGTTAGCGTTTAATGAAAATCCAACAAACCCTCGGGTAATTAAAGTGAGGTAGAAACATCAGAATTTTTAGGTGGAAAATCTTAGAAAGTGGAAAAAATCACGGGGCTTAGCTTAATTGGAATAATCAACTATTTAATAGTGAGTATACAGACTCACTCTTCTCCTGAGTTAGAAAAAATGGAATTACAAAGCTGATGATAGTTGTAACGGGCAGTGAAGGCCATAATCGATTGCTATTGAAGTGATAGTTCATCGTGAATGTTATAGATGGTGGTCATATTGCCAGCTTGTCGTAGAGGTCATAGTTGAAAAACATGGTAGTAGTTGGCTATATGGGTCGTAGATGGTTGTTTCAGGTGTGTTGGTTGGTCACATTGGTCATAGTAAGAAGCTGGGGGAGTCGTGAGCCATGTAGGATGAAATTGGTCACATTGGCCGTTGTGGTGAGATGCAATAATGTTCGTATGCCATAGAGGATGGATTTGAGAGCTGCATGAGCTATTTAAGATAACGTCCGTAGGCTGCAAAACTTTGAGTTAAGAGCTGCATGAGTTATGATAATGTCCGTAGGCTAGTGAGACTGAAGTTAGGAGCTATATGAGCTGAGATAACATTCGTAGGCCGCAGAGGGTAGAGTTGGGAGCTCCAACATGGGAATTGAGAGACTACAGACGTTATCTCAGCTCATACAACTCCCACTCCAGTCTTGATGTTGTGAATATGAAGAATATGTTGAATGAGATTTTGTTTCCCATAGTTGGTGTCAGATTGATTCGTGCCGGAAGATCCATCTCAGTAGAGTGCTCATTTGATTTGTTAGTGTTTCATGAATATCAGCACTCCTGTAATTAAAGTGCCACATAGAGACATTAGAAACTGTTAGATGAAAAATCCTAGAAAAAGAAGAAAATCACGTGGCTTAGCCGAGTTGAAACAATCTACTATGTAATGGTGAGTACACAGACCCACTCTTCTTCTGAGTTAAGAAAAATGGAATTACAAAGTTGATGTATAATGATAATTAAACAATAGTAGCTGTAACAGACCATGAAAACTATAGTCAATTGCTATAGAGGCGGTAGTTCGTCGTGAATATTGTAGATGACGGTCGTAATGCTAACTTTTGCAGAGGTCATAGTTGAAAGAAAAAGTAGTTGTTGACCATATGAGTCGCAAATGGTTGCTTTAAGAGCATTGATTGGTCACATTGACCATAGTAGGGAGTTGTATGAGCCGTGAGCCACGTAGGATGTGGTTGGTCATATAGGCCGTGTTGGTGAGCTTCGTAATGTCTGTTTGTCACAGAGGCATTTTGGAGCTCCATGAGCTATAAGATAACGTCCCTAGGCTGCAAAGGTCGGAGTTGAGAATTGCATAAGTTATGACAACGTGTGTAGGTCGGAGAGGCCGAGCTAGGAGCTACATGAGCAGAGATAATGTTTGTAGGCTGTAGAGGCCAGAGTTGGGAGCTCCAACGTGGGATTTGAGAGTTGTATGATTTGTAATAACGTCCATAGACCGCAAAGGTCGGAGTTCGGAGCTGTATGGGTTGAGATAACGTTAGTAGGCCTTAGAGACTAGAGTTAGGAGCTAAATGAGTTGTGATAAAGTCTGTTGACCATAGAGGCCGAAGTTGGGAGCTGTATAAGCTGAGATAATTCTTGTAAGTCACAAAGACCTTAATTGGAAGCTACATGGGATAAGTAATGTAGACCGGTCACAGAGGCCAGAGTTGAGAGTTGCATGGGCTGAGTAATTTTTGTAGCCTGTAGAGGCTGAAGTTTAGAGCTGCATGAGCTGAGGTAACGTTCGTAACTTGTAGAAACCAAAGTTTGGAGCTGGATGAGCTGAGGTGATGTTCGTAAGTCATAGAAGCCAAAGTTTGGAGTTGCATGAGTTGTGATAACTTCTGTAGGCCGGAGGGACCGGAGTTGAGAGTTACATGAGTTGTGATAATATCTGTAGGTTGTTGTGACCGGAGTTGGGAACTGCAATGAGAGAACTCCATAAGTCTGAAGAAAGTCACCGTATTCTGAGTATGACAGTTGTGAGTAGTTGTTGCGGGGTGCATTAATCTTTGGGAGGCATCTTTGCTCTGTTTGTGGGGCATGTCGTTGCACCGTATTTGGGGTGCGCGTTGCATCATCTTCGAGGCATTGTGGCACTGCTATGTTGTGTGTTTAGTTATTGCACAATGTACACTCAGATTCCGCAGCGCCCGTCATGATTTTGCAAGCAGCTTTGTTGCAATGAGCGTGTACGACGGTGGTCTATGGCAGCTGGCGCACGGTGGTCGGCGATACTTTGTGATTGCATGAGCGGGCAGCGTTTGTTGAACTTTCAATGTATAACGCTGGACTTCAACTCATTCTCCTCCAAATTTCAGGCTTCCCCCGGTTCGGTCTAGGTTTCGTCGCAAGATTGGGTAGGCCTCTATTTATAGAACCTGAGAAAGACATCCCTGCAAATAAGAATAAATCATGATCACTCCATCGAACAGCTCGGAGAGGTTCTCTCGATGGATAATATTTGGCGAGCATGTAAATGCATTAATGAAGTCAGAACTGTGTTGGACTCGTCTTGTCGAGACTCACGATTCGACTATAAGTTTGTCAGATTGAGCACTAGAAGCTTCCTAAAATTGCTAAACATCTCGAACTGGGCTTGATTTGACTTGGTTATTGCTAATTTTATTGTCATCGTGCTTATTTCGTCGAGCCGGTCAGTTTGACTGTGCATTTGCTGAAATTGGAGTTCTGGATGATTTTTAATTGAAGTTTGAACGTTTCTTTCTCAAAAAGTTATATTGAGATTTGTGTCATGCCTCGAGATTTGTGCCGGAGGATGAAAATGTGTTAATGGCTTATCAATTGCTAAAAGTCGCTGCTACCTCTGGACTCTAATGTTTATGGCATGCTCCATCTATGGAAGTTTTATTGTCCGTTTTTCTTTTATTGAATATCGTGGTTAGAATAAGTCTGTAGTTTGCAAACTTAGTGAACTAAGACTGCATGTTCTTATACTCTCTCTAAAGTTATAGTGCTAAAGTCTAATCTTCCTCCTGGTTTAACTCGTTCTCCTTTAGCACAATTTTATTCTTTATCAGCTGCCGTTTTCTGTTCTCTCCAGTAGTTGGTGATTGTATTTGTGATGAATTTTTGTTTTAAGGTCACTAATATGCTGAAATTTAAGTGCAGCTTCCTTGCCGGTTTTATCCAAGTAAAAACTATCAACATGGCGGATGCTGATGGAAATAAACAGCTTCAGACTGACCAAAATGAGAAGGTCGAAGAACTAAACAATGACCCAGAAACAGTTGGTCATAAGGAGCAAACTTCCATGCCTTCATCTGAAGATGAGGTAACTTTGCGATTATGATTTCATCTCTTTCAAGTACAAGTTACAATTTATTGGCTTGGGCTCTGTAAAATTTGATAGGGAAGATCTTAAATTTAGATTAAACAATATTTTTCACTCTTTTGAAGGAAGCAGCAATAAAAAAAAAGTATGGAGGAATTCTGCCCAAAAAGCCTCAACTCATTTCAAAGGTGACAAATTTTTCTATCATTTAGGAACCATTTGCATCCTTTTTACCTCTTTTGATATGTCTGTAGTTCTGTAATGGATATGGTAGAGACTTCTTTTATTATCTATTCATTTCATGAAATTAAATTTTTTTTCCTGCAGGATCATGAACGTGCTTATTTTGATTCTGCTGACTGGGCTTTAGGCAAGGTACCTGGTCAATTCTAAAGCTAATGCAATATCATTAACGTGTTTGCCAATTCATATTAGAAGTTTTATAAAATAATGATTCAGACTTTTGCCTGAGTGAAAATAAAATCATCACATTTGAGGTGGTATTACGAGAGCTTGTAGGATTTAAAGTCATGCTCTAGTCACTACATCAAACTGCATGATTAATTTAACAAACTTCATTGATTTTCAAAACATGATTCTACTGAAGCGACCAAATTATCCCACTGAGAAAAATACTTCCTTATTTATATTTTTAAATGATAAATTACAGCAAGGAGTAAAGCCAAAAGGACCTCTTGAGGCGCTCAGGCCAAAATTGCAGGTATGTCGTACGATTTTGACCATAGTTTTGTTCTATTTTCCTTGTTGATGTCTATAATCATGTTTTCTAACATGGAAACTGCACATATCCATTTTTCACATTCTTTTTTCACCCCCGGAACTTCAGCCCACACCTCAACAGCAAGCACGTTCAAGGAGATCAGCTTATGCATCCGCTGATGGTGAAGGTATTTATTGGCTGGAGCTTCCAATTTATCTTATTGGCCCTGCAGATATTGATTATTTTGTTCTTCCAATTTATCTTATTGGCCCTGCAGATATTGATTTTTTTGTTCCTCTCTCCCTCCCTCTCTCTCCCTCTCTCTCCCTCTCTCGGTTTTCTTAGAAGGTGGAAATGCTGGTTTAGAAGATGCAAACAGCCTATAGTTGAAGCACCATTGTTGTTACTTTTTATGAGCTATTCTTTTTTTGGCAGCTCTCGGAATTTCCCGCATATTGAGATGTATTTTGGTGATTCCGTGGTTTCCATGAATAAGTTCGAAGCTAAATCTCTGTTTTTTGGTTTTGGTATTGGAAAGAAATGGTTGCAGCATGCAGTGGCTAAGACTTTTAGTAGCAGAAGTCACGTATGTGCTATTTATTATTCTCATTGAAAACGTTGCATTGCTTTCTGGAATGGATGATAAGATTTGTGTCTTCCTTTTCAATCATCTTCGTGGAATTTATTGATGTTTAGCCGTATGTGCTGTTGTTTCTCACTATAAGATCCTGATTTACCCCAGGTATCATCGTTTGAATTGAAAATCTTGTTGTAAGGCTTTGTGGAATAGAGTGCTCACGAAGTGTAATGTAAGGCTTGACCTTTATAAACTAAACATGGTGGGAGATAACTAATTTGAAACTAAATCAATTAATTGATTATGTTAAGGTGAAGTGCAAATATCTCATAACATTAGAATGATGTATAAATGTAAGTACAATTACGTAATGTATAGCAAAATAATACATGATACATGATTGTTGACTGGTTAGGACACTAATAAGTATGCTGGCAATATTCTACTTGAAATTTAGCTATAACCAAATTTTGAAGGGAACGGCTGGTGTATTAAAAATTGAAATAATATTTTAAATTATTTATTATTTGAGAAGAATTAATGAAATTAAGACTACATAAACTACAAAGTACGTAAGGATTTTTAACTTGTTCAACCAAACATTAAAAATCAGCCTATTTCAGGGATAACCAAACCCAGGTTTAGGATTCAATTATAAAATCAATAAATCCCATTCTCAAGAGTGTTGGGGGAGAATGCTTATAAAACATAATCACAATGAAATTTTTCGTAATCCAATTAAAAAATAAAAAATAAAATTGACTTAAATTTTGCTAACATTTAATGAAAATATTTAGCAAATAAAATTTGAAGTAAAACTTCAATCGAACTTATGGTCTGTCAATTGTCGCAGAAATACCTTGTTGTTTGTAAATAAACTCGTATATGTTTCTCAAGCTTAAAGATGTGTAGATATTCTTTTGAAAGTTTCTCGCTTTTGGTCAAGAATGAAAATAATGAAATTTGGCTCTAAAATTTGTCTTAGAATATTTTTCTTAGAATATACTTATGTTTATAGATAAAATAAATTTTATATTATAATTGGTAATAATAATTATATTATTATTAATGTTTGAATATATTTAAAAGATAAATATTCAATAAATCAAATTTAAGTGCAACAATAATAAGCATACAACAACAAACTCTTATCCCACTAAGTGGGGTTGGCTACATGAATTATTTTTCTTCATTGCGTCTTATTGATTGTGTTATTTTCATCTAGTTTTAATAGATTAAGTTCATTTATTATACAATATGTACAAGTTTTTTTAGGTCTACGATTTGCCTTTCTTAACATAGTCGAATCTAAAACGTCTGCTCTCCTGACCAGATCATTAGATGATCGCTGTTTCATGTTACCCAACCATCTAAGATGACTCTCTCTAATCTTATTGGCCACTAGAGCTACACCAATCCCATCACGAATATATTCATTTTGCATTTTGTCTCAAAGTGTCAAGCCACTCATCTACTTTCACATTTTGTCTCAAAGTGTCAAGCCACTCATCTACCTAAGCACTCTCATCTCAGAAACACTTAACTTTGTTTTGTGCTTTTCTTTTAAAGGCCAATATTCTGTGCTATAAAGCATTGTGCGTCCCACCACCATCTTAGAAAATTTTGCTTTCCGTTCAGGTTGTACTTTTTTATCACATAATAGGCAGGATGTATCCCTCCACTTCAACCAATCAACTTGAATTGTGCTAATAACATCCACTTCTATATCACCATCATTTTGAATAATAGATTCAAGATATCTAAAACATTAAGGCCTTTTAATGATTTGATCAACCATAATGACAACTCTACTACTAGAGCAATTATTATTAAATTTACATTCTATGTATTCAATTTTAGATCTACTCAGACGAAGGCCTTTAGACTCCAATGTAGACCTCCATAATTTATGTTTCTTTTGAACTCTTTCTTTAGTCTTATCTACAAGAAGGATATCATCAGCGTAAAGCAAGCACCAAGGTACATCCTCATTCAAATGTCTAGTAAGAGCATCCAAAACTAAAACAAAAAGATATGGCCTAAAGTCGATCCAACTGAAATTGGAAAATACCTAATCAAACTTCCTTCTTTTCGAACACATGTAATAGCTCTATACATATTTTGAATGAATTGTATATAAGTCATATCAATATCTTTCTTCTTTGGAACTCTCCAAAGGATATCTCTTGGAGCTTTATTGTAAGTTTTTTTTTTAAATTAAATAAAATCATATGAAGATCCTCCTTTTTCTCTCTGTACTTCTCCATCAAACCTAACAATAAATATAAAGCTTCCATAGTAGGCCTGCCCGACATAAATCTATACTGATTATGATAAATCTTTGTATCATATCTTAACATATATTCAATTACCCTCTCCTATAATTTTAAAGCAACTTAAATCCTCTATAATTTGCACATTGTTATGCGTCCCCTTTATTCTAATAAACAGGGGCCAAAATATTCTTACTCCTCACAAGCCTTTTTTTAGTTTTTAAAATAATATTAAAGAGTTTATTCAGCTAAAGAACTTCCAAATGTCCTAAATATTTTTACACATCAATTGAGATATCATCATGTCTTACTGATTTTCCACCCTTGTTTTTCTTTAAAGCCTCATCAACATCTTTTTTTACTAAAGTGAAGGTAAAAATAAAATTTTTTATGATGATTAAAGACATTAAGATCATTAAGTTCAATCATATTTTTTTTGAAAATTCATTGAAAAGTTTATCAAACAAACTCACCCATCTATGTTGTATATATTCCTCTAAGAAAAACACGTTTTTGATTTTAATCTTTAATATACTTTTTTTGAGTTAAGTCTTTAATTTTATTTTCTCTTTGTTCGGCTAGTTTATACAAATATTTTTTACTCTCTTTAGTATCTAATATATTATAAAGATCACTAAAAATAAAATTTTTAGCATCACGAATTATTCTTTTAGACTCTCTATGGGTTACCTTATTATTTTTTTAGTTCTCTAAGCTTTTTCATTTAAATTAATTTTTATAACAAAGTTCTTATATTTTGTCATTTCTTGCAAATTACTATTCCACCACCAATTTTTTTATTTATAAAAATTTTTTCTTTCATTTCTTGCAAATTACTATTCCACCACCAATTTTTTATTTATTAAATTTTTTTCTTTCGATTCTCCAAGTACACCTTTTGCCACTTGTTTAATATTGCTTGTTACTTTTTCCCACATAGAATTCACTTTGTATAAGCATCCGAAATCTTAAAATCTTGAAGTTTAATTATAAAACTTATTTTATTTATGTTTTTAGGTGCCCCCATCTAATTCTATGATAATATTCCTTGTATTTTTTGTCCTACAACTCTTCATATTAAAATCTAGAACTAATCATTCATATTGAGTATTTAAATTTTTACTTGAATGGCCTTACAATATTTATATTCTCGACAATCTTTTTTTATCATGAAAAAATAATTAATTTGTGCTTTATTCGATCCATTCTTATAAATAATACTGCTCATCTCATTTATTAAATAAAGTATTAGCAATAACAAAATTAAATGCTAAAACAAAATCTAATATAGTTCTAGCTTCTTCATTAATCACTCCAATATCGTAGCCACCATGAATATTTCTAGAATCTTTTATTAATCTACCAATATGTTCATTTAAATCTCTTTCAACAAAAAGTTCTTTCTTTAAGGGGTATTATCTGTATTAATTCATCTAAGTCACTCCAGAATTTTATTTTTGAACCTATACACAAACTAACTTGAGGTGCATAAGCATTTATAACATTAAAAATTATAGTATCAACAACAATCATTTAGGATTATAATTCTATTTCCAGTTTATTTAATTTTTGCAACATTATCTTTCAAACTCTTATCTATAATTACACCTACACCATTTCTAGTGTGACTCATACCTGAATACCTAAATCTAAAACCTAAGTTGTTAATCTCCTTAGCCTTTACTCTAACTCATTTAGTCTCTAGATAAGATATTTATCTTCCTATGAATCATAATATCAGCTAATTCCATTAATATAGTAGTTAAAGTACTAATATTTCACGATCTCATCCTAATATTAGTTTATTTTAGTTTCATGGACTGACTTCTTTTCTTGCATTAGTCTGCATCAAATCCATCTTGTATGATATAACCTTTGGATGTTTAAAATAAATAGTTTATATATGCACATATTTATATTGCATTAAATTGCTTACTTTCCATTGGAATTTGTGAAAAGAAAAATGAATGATAATATTCATTCTATTAATTTCTGATAAAATATGGGACAAATCATTCCAAAGTTCAATTAAGTATATGGAATTATATGGCTTGGAATTCAAAAAAATTAAATGGAATTTCAAATGGATGTTGGTATTAAAAATAAAGTTTTGAATTAGATATATGTATGTGGGCTTCAACATACCTTGATTTTAATAAAAATAATTTGTTGCTTACTAACTAATAATTTAGAAAGTTTTTAGGTTGGATAATTTAGAAAATAAATTTTACAATCAATAATAAAAACTAATTCATTTTTATAATAAATATATTTAGTTGTCATAGCAATATAAAATAATTATAAAATAATATATAATTTTAACTCTAAATGACTTATTAGATATAATATAAGACAAATAAAATGCGACACTATTTTAAGACAAATAAAATGTGACACTATTTTCACGAGTTATAGAATTAAATTACTTCGTCTTAAAAAAAATATATGTATAAAACTTTACTTTTTAATTTTAATGCAAAGATGAAAGTGACGAGATTACGATTAAGAGTCTAATTTGTTGGTATAAAATAGTTATAGATATAACAAAAAAATTCATTTTAACGTGTTATTTTGTTAAGAGATTTTCTAACATGTTCTGGACTGTTTCATGATTTAAATAATTTTTATTAAATTTAATAAAGATAGTTAGCTAAGCACAAATCTTAATTCTAATTTGATCATATAGAACTTGAGCTTTCATCTTGAAATCTAGACTTCCTTGATATAGATAATCACATGTTTCTGAATTTTCTCCATAAGAAAATGTTAGGTTCACCAATCATGTATTTGTTATCATCAAAATTATAGAGCCAATTCTCTCCTTTTTTTATGATGACAAGCCTATGTTGGCC